TCATCTGCTTCCGGTACAGGCAGTAGATGCGGAAGAAATACGACCGCCTGCTGTTGTCCTGTTGGAAAACGTGTATTTGGTTAGGAAAATTCTTAATTTTAACCTCTTTATACAGGTAGTAACGGAAAGGGTATAACAAGCTGAAAGGAGGTCAAAGTACTCATGAAACTGAATAACTTTCCCCATGGAACATGGGTCGAATAATGAAAAAAAAAATTTGGACCTCTCTTAGTAAACCAATCAGCTAATCGGCGATTTTGTATGGGTAGGCCGAATTTCTTTTTTACATTTCGACCCATGTTCTATGGGGAAAGTTGTTCAGTTTCATGAGTACCTTGACCTCCTCTCGGCTTGTTATACCCTTTCTGTTACTCCCGGTACATCAATATAGAATCAATATATCAATATAAAATAGAACAATGCCTAATAAAATACTTCTAAAAATATCACAGATCTGGGTCATACAAGTTAAGAAGACGGAGAACTAGCTACATTAGGCACCAGTACGAAAATGTAGGCCAGGGAATTAGTACCTATCATAAAGTTACGAAGTACCTACAAGTATCTCTGTAGATATAATGCACATAGCGAAGATACAGAAAAAAGTCAATGAATTCACAGTTTTAAACACTTTGTTCAGAATCTGCGTGTCACCTAAGTTATACAATTATTATAGAAAAAAAGAAGTAGAAGTTATATCATAGAAAAATAATAACCCACCTTTCTTTATTAAGGCGTTAATTTAATTGTAAACACATAAATTAAGTTTTACACTGACACGTACCGACCTCGCGAGTGCAAAGATTATACAAAATAAAAGATCTCACATCTTCGACGTTGGCCTGGGAACTTTTAAGTGTTTGGGAAATATATGAATAAGTAGTGGAAATAAATAAGAGTAAATGGCGTAATAAAGTAGAGATTGCTGTGTGGTAGCGGCTAAGAATATTGCCCCTAGTCCACTCAGGATGTTTCGTAAAAGGCGACTTAAAGTTTTTGACCTCGGCTGAATATCTGCTGAATATGGTCAAGTACCTAGGTCTGCCATACAGTGGCACTGTGGCAGCGATACTAATACTACCCACGATAGCATTCCCATAGAAAGTTGACGACCCCAACCGAACAGGCAGATTATGATCGCGTAATAAAGAAGAGGTATATGTTTAGAAGCTTGCTATTAAAGGCTGGATCGATCGATAGATAGATATAGGTCTGTTGCAGGCGGCTAAGCCTATATTTAAGTAAAATAACGTGCTCTACATAATTCGAGGCACAAGTTGTCAAACATTTATAGTTATTTTTTATGGGCAAAGCAGAATAGTGATTTCCTTTTTCATCAAATTGAATCCATACGATCCGATAGCTAAATAACAACTTTTAAAAACTTATATTATAATACATGCAAAGAATATCAATAAACAATACCTACTGTTTTCGGGTGAGCCCTACCTAGCTCCCTAATAATTAAGTCAAGCGTGCGTAGGTTTTGGGGTCAGAATCGGAACCATTTAGCCCATTAGTAAATAAATCAGGGTAAGGCCAAGGATGCCTCATTCTACATACAACTGTTAATAAGCTAGTGTAGTGTAGCTCGGCCACCACCTCTACCTTAGAGAATATATAAGCAAGCTATAGAGTGCGCGTATCGCCCCGCGCCCGTACTGTCAACCGTAAGCAGGTGCTACCTAGATACATACGGCAAATGTTTAAGAAGTAATAGTGTTATCACTAGCGTTTTGTAACTGATGGACAAAGAGGTTGCGTTATTTTAACTGCCACCCGTACTAACTTTTTAGGGTCACCCTGTAGCTAGCTTGCTTATCTACTCTTTTAGGTAAGACCTCAACATATTACTGTTCTTGTAAGTATATGTCGGTCACTTTCGATCGTTTACCTTTACGTACATTATTTTCTCATAATATAGCGCTACAAAACCTCAGGCACGGCCCACACTCACCTTTATAAGGCACAAAACTCCAGTGTCCTTCTTCTTCCATTCCGAATGTCCGGGCCCTTCCGTCGTGAACAGCTGCACCACCGCTGTTGCGAGACTCTGTGGGCAAAACGTCTCTTTAATCTCTCTGTGAAGAGTAGTTAATAAATAGTTCTTGGGGTACATCAATATAGTATAAAATCAAGTTGCGTTTCGCTTTTCTCTGTTTGCCTGTATTGGAATTCGATAACTCCTCTTAAACCAAGCAACGTAATTTTGATGCGGGTCTTGTAATAGATCTAGACACACGGCAGTGTGTCCGCCAAGTTCGAGCAAAAAAAGCGACACACCGGCCGTGGGTTATATTACACGAACCATTTCGGGCCAAGTTCGACCCACCTATAACTCAAAATCTATTTTATCTACGCATATGAAATTTCTATTATCTGTCGAGATCTACTTACTTATCTAAAATACGAAATTTCATTAATGTACCTATTGTAGGTCTTGAGATATTGACGTCAGAAAATCGCTATTTTTACTATACACTCACTGACTGACTGACTCACTCATCAAAAACCTAGACCACTTCCAATGGTCGTATTGACTTGAAAGAGCAACCGACATAGCTGGCATACCTACCGGACAAAAAAAAAGAAAATCTATATCTCGCGACCAGAGCTGAAACATATTGCAATCGATTAAGCATAAAAATACAAAGCAAAAGTGTACTTTGATAAAAAGTCGTAATAGTTGTATTTTCGGAGATATATGGATTTAAAAATCATTTTTCTTTTTCAATATTAATATTATTTTCCTATTTTTAAGTATGTACTTGTCTATAATAATACTGATTCTAATGTAATACAGACTAAAAACGTTAAATTGTGCTTAGGTATATATATTTAAGACTAGCGGCCCGCCCTGCGGTTTCACCGCTAGTAAAAAGTCAATTACTCCGTTTCAGCAGAAGTGTTGCATTATGATCATGTGCCAGCAAAAGCGGCCTTTCATGCTAAAAAACTTTTCCTTTGAGGCCATTACGCTATCTCTTATAGTTTAGATGGGATGCTGGTGGTCTGCATTAGGTACTCCAGACTCTTGATGACCATGTGCCTGCAAAAGCGTCCCGTCATGCTGAACAACATTTACTTTGAAGCCATTACCGTATCTATTATAGTTTAGATGGGATGTTTGTGGTCCGCATCATGTACTCTAGATCCTCAATGACCATGTACTAGCAGAAGCGGCCGATCAAGCTGAATAACTTTTGCTATGAAGCCATTTTCGTATATCATACAGTTTAGCTGTTCTCCTGGTGCTTTACATCAGGTACTACAGATCCTCAAGGGTGGATAAAAAGTAGTCCATGTCCATCTTAAATATGCTAGCAATATCAGTGCCAAATCTCGCGAAGATCGGTAAAGCGGTTTGGCTAGTTTGGGTAAAATCCGCTTTATTTTCCCGTTTTCCTGATGCTGACCGTTTTTCCGTGGGAATGAGGAATTTTCCCATGTTATAAAGTAGCCTTTGTTACTCAAAGATGTAGTAGCTTTCTAATAGTGAAAGAATTTTGGAAATCGGTCCAGTAGTTTCGGAGTTTATCGATTAGACATACACTGCACATGCCGTCGCCGTACAAAAGGAAGATACCTACTGCTACCTGCCGACGCTACACGTGTCGTCTGCAGTTGTCATCTGTCGCGATGCTCTTAATAGCACCTTAATTATAGGAGATTGCATAGAGAGATTACGGCGACTGCATTTCAGGCAAATCAGCTTACGTCTTGAATATAAATGAGCACAATCAAACCTTTTTAGTTTGTATTACATTAGAATAAGATTGATTTTATTTTATTTATAAGCATATACTTATGTCAGTATACTTATGAATGCAAAAGAAAATGAATATAAAAAAAAAATATTCCGACTTTTAAATCCATATATCTCCGAAAATACAACTATTACGGCTTTTTATCAAAGTACACTTTTGATTTGTATTTTTATGTTTTATCGATTGCAACATGTTTCAGCTCTGGTCGCGAGATTTAGATTTTCTTTTTTTTTGTCTGGTAGGTATGCCAGGCTCCATACTAAAATGTCGGATACCATTTGGCATGGAGGTAGGTCTTTAGGTCAAGTAAAGGAAAAAATCTGAAAATGGCCAAGTGTGAGTCGGTTTTAAAAATAATGAAGGTGTAAATTCATACCCCTAAGGAACTAAAACAAAAAAATTATCTATATCTTCCAATCGTCGTACCGACCTAAAATTCGTTACGAAGGTTTGTATTTAGTCAAAGTAAAGTATAAATGAGATATTACCTTACCTAACTAACTTAATCATAAGAAAAAAAGAAAATAAACCTTACAAAAATAAATGGAATCCCACCCAAAACATAAATGTGAAAGGCTGCCAAGTTCGATAATATTGGAATGCTTCGCCTATAAAAGAAGTGAGATCTAAATAAGTACCAAGTTCCATACACAGACCTCAGTTAAAAATAGTTACAGGAATGCACACTTGATTTTTCGCAGTTTGGAAATAAGAATCTACTTTCCAAACTGCGGAAAATCAAGTGTGCATTCCTGTAACTGTTTTTAACTGAGGTCTGTGTATGGAACTTGGTACTTATTTAGATCTCACTTCTTTTATAGGCGAAGCATTCCAATATTATCGAACTTGGCAGCCTTTCACATTTATGTTTTGGGTGGGATAGAGATTCAAGAGGAAGGTTTAAATGCATAACATATGGCGAGAAAATGCCTTATTCCCGCGGGAAAACGAGTTGCAGCGGGAGAAACCGCTAATGGGCCGCTAGTGTTAATATACGAGTACCTAAATGAACGATAAGAACTTTAAAATGTGTTTGAGGAAAACAAAAATTAGATTTGAGGAAGAAGGAAGACTGACGTCTACCGATGTGGCGCAGTGGGCAGTGGTAGCGCGTCTGCCTACTACGCGATGTCCCGTTTTTTTAAATTTAAATGGTTAAATTAATCTATTGGTATTTTGTTGTTCTTTTAAATGAAAATAAGACATTGTAAAAATTGTCATGCATCAATGGGTGCCTCAATAGCTCAGCGGCAGAGCAATGAGGCATTGACCCATGGGGCCCGGGTTCGAGCCCCGGTTGATGCAAGTCAATTTTTTCAATTTCTTATTTTCATTTATGGTTAAATTAAAATATCGGATGAATTTTTACTGTGACCGATAGCGAAAACTCAGAACCGGCTGGTTGGTGATAAGGAACAACTTTCCCCAAGGAACATAGGTCGAAATACGAAAAAAAATTTGGACCTCCCATACAAAATTGCCGGTCAGCTGATTTAAGTTACTATGGGAGGTCAATTTTTTTTTTCCTATTTCGATCTATGTTCCTTGGGGAAAGTTGTTCCTTATCATGAGCCGGTTCTGAGTATTCGCTATCGGTCACTAGTAAAATTTCACCCCATATTTATTCTAGAGTCTGGGTGTAATCTGTGTGTATCAATGGCACAACAATACCCGCAGGTATTTCTAATGGGGCTATTATGAGTGTGTTTATGTTTGTGTTTACAACTAGGTACTATCGCCAACACATCAACATACCCATTTAAGGGACCTACTTGTACTGGTTATTGACATACAGGGTGATAATAAAAATGCGTGCCACAGCTTCAGGGTAAATTTAGTATCGATAAAGGATGCCGTAAAAAATTATGAAAAAAAAAACAATAAAAATATTTTTTTTTTACTTTGCTGACATTTGATTCAAATGCCTATATCTCAGCCAAAATTAGTTCAATCTCAAAGTTGTTTAAACGAATACTTAACCTACCCTGAAGCTATGGCACACATTTAAATTAACACCCTGTAAAATGCTTGTAGAATATCAGGATCCTAACTTACTGCCATGAAAACAAACATTTATTCATGAACAAAATTTTATCCAATCTTTCCTTCAGATAAAAGCAACATGTAACAAAGATGTTGATAGACCTGTCTGACTATCTGTAGATATTTTCATTAGCCACTTGCAGACAGTGGCAATGGCCACTTTCCTGCCTATTACTGGCATGCCAGTTGAACAGGATTTGTACTGCACTTTCCCTCTCATACAGATTTTATCAATGTTGTTTTGAGAGAAATTACCAACACTCTTATAAAAAGTTTCTTGAATCTAAGATTACAAGATTAATGTTAGGTATGAAAAATACTGACAATATTTTAAGGGATGAATGTGGCTATGTAGCTGAAAAAATGTGATGAATTTCCCTAATTAACATAGGCGAAAATATTCAATATTTCTACATTTTTATTTGTTAGTAATCCCATATGATTGGTTTACTTATTTTCTAATGCTTTTGGGTAAGAAAAATAAGGATCAGACATGATGTGTGTGTATTTCAAATCATGATTCCTCCAATATCCGACAGGGAGATTATATTATAGGAAAGGAACTTATTGAAATAAAAATAGCAAATAGCTCTCTATTATTATCATTTATGTATGAAAAATTAGGCCATGAATATTTCTAAGCTATAAATATCTAAAATATTTTAAAGCACTCGAACACAGCATTGCTTGGAGAGTACAGTTATCTATCAGATATAAAATAAAATAATTCTTACAGGTTCCTTAAAGCTGGGTATTTATTAGGGAACATTTCTGGGACAAAGTGCCGAAACATTGCATAAATACAGCCAGGTATTTATTGGGGACAAAATCCCTGAACTTTGTATAATAGACAATGTATATGGACAATGTCCCCAAATGTACGCGTTTTTTTGGGAACTTTGTTTGGGAACGTTGTTCAAAATATGTCCACATTGGGAACATTCTCCAGATACTTTGTGTCATATAGGAAGTTCAATGAATACCCTCCTTGCAAACAATTTTTTTGGTAATTTTGTTGGGAACTTCTTTCCTGATGTGTTTCTTATACAACGTTTCTGGGATTTTGTCCCCAATGAATTAAGTCATACACCAACTCAATGTCCCATGCAATAAATAACAAGGAAGCCATAGTTTTATTTATTTTATATGATTTTGCTATGACTCATATAACACACAAAATGACTCAGAGGACTAGCACATTTTGTATCAGAGGTCAAAAATGTATTTACATAATTCTGTTTAATGGGCAAGTTCACCCCTTATAAAATTTTAATTCATTTTTTTTTACACCTGGAGTCTGACTAGGAATCTTTAACCTCATTGAAGAATTGAATCTGGGTCACTATCTGATAAAAGCTTACTAGATTTCTAGGCCTTACGAGGCTAAATTGAAAGGTTTTAAATTTTTAACCTATTCTTTCTACCTATTAAAGCTAACTCTTCAAACATTTACTGTGATAGCCTTAGACATCATTTGGCATGCTACTGTCAGGTATGCTAAAGAGAATTTTAATGACTTGTAACCTTGAGGTGTAATGAAGATGACCTAATCAAAACAATGTGTAGACGCAACTTTCCTACACAGCAGGAAGGATGTCTAGAACACCAAATTCAATTAATAACTGTAAAATTACAATTAGTAATCAGTACACATATTGCACACATCCTTACTGTTATTATAACAGCTGTATGTTCGCCACTACAATAAAACATAAGCTAAACTTACTAGTTGATAAAACTTCGTAAAAAACGTATATTCTAATCCGAAATTACCACGAAACGGTATTATCGTCGTGTTATCGACAGATAATTCCCAGATACAGGGATACTGAGATATGTAATCTCAAAGCTGAATCACGAGGAAGGCAGTGTTAGTTCCTTCTGTTATTTACCTGGCATTTAGGCCCGATGAGCGCAAACACCTGTTCGTTCTCGTCCCGCGATAGCAGGACGCTCGACCTGTTCTCCCCTCGCGGCATCCTGTCCGCTAAACGCGACAATAAAACATAAAATCACTTCAAACACACACGAACCGACGAATCAGTCATCACAGTTTTCCAACATTTTATACTCAAAAAGCTTGCATTTTGGCACTCGCGAGGAACTCGTGACAACAATAAGAGCATTTCTCACGACGCGGAAATGTTTATTTCATAATTCAATGGCAATAAACTCGGAAAACTTGCGATTTACTTTCTCTACATCCGTACGTGAGACATCAATCAGCAAATGACGGATCTAAATGGTGTTGCCTGCGTAGTGCGTATTGCCGTTCTGTCAAACAAACGTCATCGCTTTTTTATTATGGCAGCCCTAGAAGCACTACTACGAGTCTCTCTCTCACTGTTGAGAGCGAAAATGCAATCACAGATCACTTATATGTCCTAAGGAATGCAATGACTCGAGTATGACATAATGACATGTAGTTCCACATCTTGAAGTTGTGGCGGGAATTTTGAACGTTTTCAAAACTTTCTTGGTTCCAGGCTCTATAGGTTCTGTTTCTACCAAGGGTTCTACTTGGTTCAGTTTTTTATGAGTTTTTTTTAAGTTTTTTGCATCTATTCTTCAAGCAATTCAAGGAAAATGTATTCCGACGAGACACAGAGAGACAGCCAGCAGTTTCATTTGTCTAGTTAATGTCTTATTATTGGTAGGTAACTGCCAAAATAGGCTACAATAGCCACATGCGAGCGCATCAGCGCCGATTTGATCAGGAGTAGAAGTGGTCGCCATGGTCGAAACCGGCCGGAAAGATCATCATCATCATTGGTAAAGGATACGGTCATTCGACTTATTTTTGTTCTTGTATTATTATATTACTGCAATATTATTATTACTTCTAAGAAGAGTCATAGATGGCGCATAAAATAAAACATGATGCGTATATTTTTCAAAAGATTTAATATCAGTTTGCTTGACGACAAACCAGATACAAAACGATACAAATTCGACACGCCTATCCACTTGCTATGTTACAGTTACAGAGTGATATATTTGTCGCTGTGCTCTTTTGCACCAAGAAGTAAGACCCATATGGACCATAGACCCATATATTTACAGGATGGTGTAAAACGACAAGTTGGTAGATTTTTTTTAAAAATCCTTAGGGCTGTCACAGACCAGCGACACTGTCGCACTTTGGCAGCAACAGCTATCGGTCGCTATACTCACGCACGCAGCGCACGCCCTTCATAATTTTGATGACAAAAATTTGTCGTTAAAACCATTCTGTATTACAATATATTTATGACACAATACACACTTTATCTAGTTATTATTCGTTTCATGACATCAAATTTTTTATAGAAATTTATTTTTAGTCTGAATGTTATGCCAAAGCCAAATCCCGCAACACTATTTTTTTGAAGGAGATTTATTTTTGAATCAGTAAATATCCATCTGTGCCATGCGTAAGCGTATGCAAAATCGGAATTCTATTGATTCAAAAATACCTATGTCTCCAGCTGCAGGCCTAATATTTTCAAATTCAGGTTTACCTGAGTGATTCTGTTTACCTAGTATTTAATAATAACGTACCTATATCCGAACAGATAATAACTAAGGTATTTATTTTGCAATTACATCGCTTTGCGAACATATTGTAATCTAATGGAATCTACAATAAATACTTAGGTATTATTTACACAGCCTGTATACCGGGAGTAACAAAAAGGGTACAACAATCCGAAAGGAGGTTAAGGTTTAAGTACCTTAACAACTTTTCCTATGAAACATGAGTCGAAATATGAAAAAATATTGGACCCGCAATAAATCAATCAGCTGGTCGGCAATTTTGTATGGGAAGCCAATTTTTTTTTTCATATCTCGACCTATTTTCCTTGGGGAACTTGTTCAGTTTCATGAGTACCTTGACTTCCTTTCAGCTTGTTAGACCCTTTCTGCTACACGCTGTATAAGAAAGCTACACTATTACAATCACAAGTTTATTTTTTCTCTACTATATAAGAGATCTGGTTCAAATTCAAGGTCTTACAAGAATAAATTTCTTAAACAAAAATCTAATTCTTTCATAAATACATATGATACGATACGATACGATATGGTTGCAGTGAATATTATACTTGTGTTTTAATAAGAACTGGGCCAGTATAATAACAGAAATACTTACATACATGTGAGTTAAATAGGTTAGTACCTATGATCTATAGAAAATTGACATTTAAATAATTTTCGACACAGTTTTCTATACTACGACATAGAAACACGTACAAACGTTGGATATTTTCGATGGCTAGATA